GCACTAACCTTAGTTGGAACCATTGAATTCCAAATTAGATTAAAAAAGCTCCTTTTCCTAGTAGCATGGCTTGATGTCAATGGATGATTTGCTATTTTCAAATCTAAACACGTGTAAAGATTGCTATTGTTACTATTATTGATACTATCATGTTTATGTTTTTACAGATATTGCTTAAAAGAAGAAATCATTTCAAATATATAAGATGGCATGCCCTTCTAATTTAAAGGATAAAAGGACAAAGGCACAATGGGATGTAAGTACAACAAAAAGTTTCTGTGAGTTAAAGGTCATGGCTGGTAATTGTCCTACTAGTACTTTTAATAAAATAGAGTGGAGAAATGTAGAGGAAAAATTTAATGGAGCAAATAAAAAATGTGTTTATAAACAATTAAGAAATAGGTGGGATGCATTAAATAATGATTGAGTTTTGTGGAATCAACTTCTAAAATAAGAAACAATATTAGGGTAAAACTATGAAAAGGGTACCATTGATGCTACTCTTCGGCGATGGGCTGCATGAAAAGCGGTTAATATTATTTCATTATTATTAATAATTTTAAGTTTTTGAATGTTAATATGCTAATTTTAACTTTAAATTCATAATATATTATATCTTATATGATGTTAATTATTGTAGGAGAATAAGAAATATGCCAAGTTTGAGTATAATTGATTAGAAAACATAGCAAAGTTAGGGATAATATTTGTTAAAATAATGGCAACTAGTGAAACTACATGGACCCCAACTGCTTGTGCTGTTTTTCTAGAACAAAATGTAAGAGATGTAGGGGTTGAAAATGTTGTTGATTTAGATGAAGAACATGGTGATTCTGATGATGTGAACATCATATCTACACAGACCCAAAGAGGCAGTGAAAAATGAAAAAATATAATAAGTTGTTTAACTAAAGATAAAGGAAAGAAAGTGAAGTTGGGGGGCGCAACCTACAGGCAAAGACAATTGAATAATCTTTATGATGCAATTGAAAATTATACCTTAACCAGTTTAATCGAATCATCAAAGAAGAACTATAATGCACCTACTAGTAACATTGCAGAATGCGTGAGTGTATTGTTGACTTTGCTTGGAGTTGAAGATGGTAGTGAGTTATTTATCTTAGGTACTCATTTATTTATGAAACAAGAATATAGAGAGATGTTCAATAGCATAAAATCAGTAAACTATAATGTTTCCTTGCTAAAACAAGAGTTGGAGAGGGAGAAGCTCAGTGGTGAAAGGCACTAGGATATGAGATATTAACCTTTGTTGTTGCGTGTGATTTTCAATTTTTAGTATTGAGATGTAATTTAGGATTTGACATGCAAAACTAGCATGAATATTACGGTTTTAATTTTTAGTATTGAGATCTTGCGTTTTTAGCTTTTAATTTTTAGCATTAAGATATTTGTAGTATTAATATTTGACATGTAGAATTATAATTTCTATGTAGAAGGTGGAACAATGTTATAAATATATGTGTTCTCATAATATTCTTTAAAAATTATACGATGATTTGAAGCTTAAGACATACATATTAGAATACTATGGTAATCTTTTTTGTAGCATATGGAATACAGTTCTTTAGAATAATGTTCTTCATATTAAACCAAATTATTATTAGATTTACTAGTATAGGAGGTTGAGACATGTATCTCAATAGGTGTTATGTTCTTCTATAGAAAAAAGTGAAAGTGTACTTCTCAAGTTAGTCTCTAGTCTTGTTATGACAAGGGATAAAAATGAGGCTTCCTTCCTAAAACAAATTAGCAGGTTTCTTAGTTTTCAAGAAAGATTGACCAAGTAAAAGAGAGAAAATTAAACACCTATTTAATTAACCAACCTCCAACTACTTTCATTCAATTCAAAACTTTTAATATCTATTAATCAAGCACCTATTTCTTTCACTGACTACAGTATTAAACATGCACTTATTGAAATTCGTCCACTTCAAGCCAAAGAAGTTGTGCAAAAGCATTGCATTAACTCCAATCAACTTCTTATTTATTTATTCCATTTTATTAGCAACAATTCCTGTCCTTCACTTAAGTTCATGTACTTTGCTTTGTTCCTTTCTATTAAGAATCAAACAAGTTAGTTATATCATTCTTCCAAGTTCATTTCTCATTATATTAAGAAAAATAAAAGTGGTAATTTCATTTTTTTTTTATTGACAAAGTTTTGTTGTATAAATAATTAGATTTATTTGTTGTAATCATATTTTCCCCTAACTTTTTCTTTTTCTTACTAGATGGAATTAGATTCAAGGTGAGAGAAAGAAAATAGTGATGAGGATAAGATGGAAGAAGAAGCTATACAACAGCGAGGGAGAGAGGTGGAAGCTAGACCAAAAAAAGAAAAAAGAAGATAATATGTTTTTTTCTCTTATTTCATTGAGTACTTCAATATCTTCAAGATAAACTATTTTAATAAACAAAAAAACAAAAGTTTTTAGACTTTCAGGATGATAATTTGTACAAAAGACATTGGCAACTTTAGGTGAGAGTTATAAAATATTTAAAATAGAATCACATGTTTTTAGGGGATTATGTTTTTAATTGGTTAGTGATTATGGTCTAATATCAACAAAAGAAATATGTGTTAAAGAAGCACTTGCAATGGTTTTTTGGACGTGCATATAACAAATTTCATCAAAATGTGCAAAATCGTTTTAAATATTCAGGAGAAACAATAAATAGAAAATTTGGTGAGGTTTTTAGTTGATATTAAAAAATCCCTTGATTATAATTCTATTGAAACTCCAAAGAAGATTCAAGAAGACTATAGGTTTTGGTCTCATTTTAAAGAAAATATTGGTGTAATTGATGATACACATATTAAAGCAATGATCCAAATTAAAGATCAAGTACCATAAAGAGGTTGAAAAGGCAACACCTCTCAAGTACCATAAAGAGGTTGAAAAGGCACCACCTCTCAAAATGTGATGGTAATTGTAATTTTGACGTGATATTTAAATTGTAATTACATGTTAGCCTAGATCTACTCATGATGCACACATTCTTAGTAACACATTGAAAAAGTATAAAAATGTGTTCTCTCATCCTCCTAATGGTAATGATATTTAATTTATTCTATATTATAATAACAAAGGCACATTTTTTAATGAATTTTTAAACACATTTTTATTATTTATTATTCATAACTTTTCTCATATATTTCAGCCAAATATGATCTTGTTGACGTTGGTTATCCCAATATAAAAGGATTTTTGGCACCTTATAAAAGAGAATGGCATTAAATTTCTGATTTTAGACATAGAAGCCAACCAATGGGTTATCAAGAAGTATACAAAAATAGATTTGCAATATTTTCCAACGTGAAAATTATTTATTTAGAACACAAAAGAAGATAATAGTTGCAATTATTGTGCTTCACAATTATATTAAGCAACATGCAATTAAAGATAAAGAATTTAATAGGTGTGACTGTAACCCAAATTATATGACTGAAGTGCTTAGGGAAAATAACAAAAGTGAAACAAATTTTCAAAATAATTTTGTTTGTACAATAAAGGATCGTAACAAGACTTCACTTCATGATATCATAACTCGATTTTTAATGAAAAGTCAATCAAAATGATTGTTATTGTTAATTTAATTTTATTATCTTATTTATAAAACTTAAATGTAGTATGTTTCATTTTTTAATATTAAAATATAAGTATTTTTCTATATATTAATATTAAAATGATTAATTACTAATATTTATATTTATAAATATGAAAAATCCATTGTAATCATCAATTTTAGTATAATTAATTTAAAAATGAATTGAAGATTTATAAAAACGAAAAAAAAGGGAGACGTACAATGCTTTTTTAAAAAAAAACTGTTTTTTTAGTCATTTCAAAATGATATTAAATTAGAAAATCATTTATAAAAAAAAATTATTAAACAACTTTAAATTCTAAAAATTTTTCAATAAATAATTTAATTAAATACCTTTAACTTTTCATAAATAAAACTTCCACAATAGATTCCTTGTAATATGATTTTTATCAAAAACTCTAATCGCATCAAACAACCTCTAAAACTCGAGTCAAAAAGCCAACTCAGTCTCATTCGATGGTGCTCCCCTCCTCTGAAATCCATTAAAGATTAAACACAGCACTGATACACTGATGGTTCCGCTCAATTTTTGTATGGGTATTTTTTATGTGTTGATTTATTATATATTTTTATTATAAATTTATATAAAAATTAAAATTCACTTTAATTTTATATCTAAACACGTAGAATAATCCGCTCTAATCCAATGGCATTTGATCCTAAGTTAAAGCCGTTCAGCTTATGTAAATTGCATGTTCGAACCTCATAGAATATATTTTTTTCATTCTCTAATGAATATGTAAATAATTGCAATATATTCTAAAAAAAAAAAAAAAAGGGGAGATTTCTCTGCTATCTTTTCCATTCTCTTCACCTCTAACTCTTAACGCTGGGTAAAATGGTTAATATAGGAAACCGTATTTCTTTGTGCGAGGCGTAAACCAATCTATCCCAACATTAACATAATTAATCAAAATTTAAATTTTTAAAAAAATTAATTAATTTTAATTAAATTATTTTGAATTGAACGAACCTAATTTTAATGGTGAGGTGACTCAATCAAATTCAAATAATTTTAATTTAAGTCATATTAAATTCTAGATTTATTTTCAAATCCATTATGAGTAGCCATAATTCTACTCATAATGGATAAATTGACCCTCAAATGGGGTGCAATTTTGTGAGGCTATCGCACGTTTTTTTTTTATGTTCCCAGCAAATGACGCGTTGAACTTGCTTAACCACCAACAAATAATATCCAATTCTAAGAAGATATTTTGGTTCTCAGGAGGAGTGATGTACTTTCCATATATTCCCCCTCAATCTAATTTAGTTATTCTAAATTTTACATAAAATTTAATTAACTTTTTATAGTAAATAAATAATAATTAACTTTTTATATTTAATTTTATTAAGTATTTTTACTTAAATTAAAGTAATTTTTAATTATCATTCATTTGTTATATAAGATCAGTAATTAATTTACATACAATTAAAGATTAAGGTAACAAAAAATAAAAGTATTTCATATAATTGTGATACATTATTAAATATTATGTATATAATGTTATAAATAAATTACTAAATAAATTATATGATATTGTAAATAAATTTTTATATAAAAAATTAATTAATAATATATTATAAG